GGGCTCCTCTGGGCACCTCCCCCGGGGCCGGTTTTGCGGGGATGTCTCAGGCGAGGGCGCCGGTTTGGGATTCGTCCCCGGATCCAGCGGATCCGTCCGGATCCGTCCGGAAACGGTGCCAGAGGCCGCTCTGGGCTCCTCTGGGCACCTCCCCCGGGGCCGGTTTTGCGGGGATGTCTCAGGCGAGGGCGCCGGTTTGGGATTCGTCCCCGGATCCAGCGGATCCGTCCGGATCCGTCCGGAAACGGTGCCGGAGGCCGCTCTGGACTCGTGCTCTTCGCGCCGGGGGTGAGGATGACGTGAGTTCCACAGAAACTCCCTCAAATTATTCCTCCTCGTATTCTTATGATGCTTCCGATTTCAGCTTGCCTCACAGGACAAGCGGTGGTTTTCTAGAGCCGTCCGGTTTTCTCTTCTTCATATCATTATCAGTATGATTATGTTTATTCCTATTATTATTCGTAGTAGTTTTATGTGTTAGTAATGTTGTTCGTATGATCATTCGTATTATCTTATTAGTTTTATTGTTATTGTTGTTCTTTCTAGTGTTTAGAATGTGTTTCGTTATTATTGTTATTAGTGTTGTTAGCATTGTTACTTTTATAATTTAGTCTGCGTATTCTCCCTCGTATTCCTCTGATTCTTGGCACGGAGCTTCGTTCTCGGAGCCCCCGTTCGCTGCCTGGAGCCTCTGGAGCCCCTTCTTCCTCCGATCCTCGTTTCGCGGCCACCGTGGCCGTCACCAGACGACGCAGGCTGCACGGCCCGTCCGGGGCGGGGGGGCCTCGGGGGCCTTGGGGCCCGCGTGGCCGCGAGCCGCCGACCCCTCGCCTTGCGTCTCCTGCACGCCTGGGGGGGTGGGCTCCGAGGTCCTCGCGGGCAAGACCCGGGTCCGGCACGAGGCTGTTCCTTTTTCAGGGCCCGGCGATAGCCCGGGTGATCGGGCCTGCCCCCCCCTCCCCCCCCCCCAGGACAACCTAACCCTGCCAGTTGTGCAGGTCCGGGGTGGGGGGGGCGCGGGCACGTGCAGGGCTGCCCACAGCGCGAAGGTTAGGTTATCGGCCGGACCGCTCCGGATAACCCGGGTTTTCGCCGATTCCCCAAAAACGGTCTCCATGCGGGGCGACGTTCTGGGGGGCTCGGCTCACGGGGGGATGCATCGACCCCCATCGCTTCCCCTCACTTCGCCTCCGTCCAGGGCTCGTTCCGATTCCTCGGGCTCGATTCGACGCGGTTTCGGTGGCTTCCGGTTCCGGCTCCATTCGACTTGGGATTCCTGCTTGGACTCCGTCCCGGCGGAGGCTTGCAAGCCTGCCGGCTTCCGCCGATCCGATTTGTCCCGACTCGGCTGCCGATCTCTGCCGATCCGATTCGCTTCGACCACGGATCCGGCTGCTCGATTTGGCTCTGGGCTCTCCTGCCGTCCCGAGAGCACCGCACCGGGGGGGGGGTCGGCGTCACCCCAACATACTTCTACTGTGTGTGCGTCGCCCCCCCCAGGGGCGACGCGCGCACCGACAGATCTTATGGTATAGGCATCGTGGCGGGCGCTTTCTGTCCAGACCGCTCGGGAAATGATACGCTACAATCGTGTGTTGCTAGGAGTGCCCCTGGCCCAAGCTACCCCCAGGATTCTCGGGGTGGCCTAGACGGCCTCCAGAGCACCCCTCACGAGGCCCAGAGAGCCCCAGGGGCCCAAAAATCGAGCGAAAACCTAGGGGCACCTTGGGCCACGGGCACTTCGCATCACCCGATACAATAATATGGGTCTACTATATGTTCGGGTCGGACGCGCGCCTCCAAGGAGGACGTATAGTATCAGTGTGCCTCTGTGCGTCCCAGGGGGTGTCCGGGACCGCCGCGCATCGCACGTGAGGCCGCCTGCCCCGAGAGCCTCGCGGGAGCAGCAGGGCAAGAGTCCGACAGTCGAGGAGGTCAGCTCACAGCGGGGGGGGCAGCGCTGCCCAGGCGGGAGGAGGAAGAGGAGGGGGAGACGAAAGAGGAGGAGGAGGAGGAGGAGGAGGAGGAGGAGGAGGAGGAGGAGGGGCTCCTGACCTCCGCGGTCAGCGGCTTGCCCCAAGCAAGCGAGCGCGCCGTCAAAATGGGCTGGACGTCTGCCTTCAAGCTGCCTCGCCCTAACGGCCAGGGCCCCCTCTTTGTGCTGCAAAGATTCAGACCTCCCCCTCCTCCTCCTCCTCCTCCTCCTCTTTCTCCCCGTTTTTCTCCTCGTCGTCTTCCTCCCCCTTCAGGAGGAGGAGGAGGAGGAGGAGGAGGAACTAACAAGTCACAGGGGGATCGGCTCACGAGGGGATGCACTGGCCCCTATAACCCAACTTCGCGTCGCTTCCGCCCCGAGGGCACTGCACACTGGATGGGCAACGTCAATGTGGGGACAGGACCACACGGGGGGGCTGCATCGAACCCCACGCCGCTTATTCGTCGCCGCTCCACCCGGCGATGCGTGGCCGACTCCATGTCGATGCTCCCCCCCCTGAACCAGCCCCCCTTTTTGTCCCCCCTCAGTCGGGATGGGCTCTGGAGCTCCGCTGGCGCTTCTGGAGGACCCCGCGCCTGCGACGTCGTTTTTGCTCTTGCCACACGGGTTCGCCCCTCTGCTTCCCGGGGCGGCGTGGTTCGCCCCAGGTCTTTCTGTGGCGGCCCCGGGCCCCGAAGGCTGTGTCCAGACGCAGAGCAAGACGCGAAACCGATTTGTCCCGCCCTTTTTCCCGTTCTCGGGCCCCCTGGGAGGCCCTCGTCGCCGCCGTTGAATTCGCTTCGAAATCGCGGTCAGAACATACTCCAGGAGAGGTCTGGGGAGTAGCGGTATCGATACCTTTTGGTTTGCCCAGTTGGAGCTCGAGAGTTCTCTATTTCTTTTTCGCGGCGTCGTCTCTCGGGCTGCATGCCAGGTCGCTAGGTCGGCCTGCGGTAGTTGCTTCGGGCGGGCCAGTTTCCCACCACAAGATGTGGAGCGCCGCGCCGCAATGCTCGTGAAGTCCACTGCGCACCTTCAGCAGCTGCACCACAAGGCGTGCAGCGGGCTGCGGTCACTGCAGAACCCGTGACGGGACGACCGAGATGCTGGGCCGCTTCCCATTGTTCCTCGTTCTAGTCCTTGGGAGGACACTCGCGTGTCACAGAAGTCACGTGGTCTGCCTCAGACCTGGGCGTCTTGAAGAAATGGTGGCATGTGTTCTGCCTTGATTTCGGTCCCCAGGGCGCTCTCGGATCGATCTGGCCCGAGAGATGCCGTGGGAAAGATGGAGTCTGGAGTTTTGGTCGGGGTTTCCTCCGACGTCTTGATTTGTTGTTTTCCACCACGTCGGATGTTTCGAAGTTCTCTCACGGGGCAGACAGCGACATAAACGTAAACGTTCGGAGGTCCGCGCGAGTTTCTCGGATCGGCGATGGACCCCCTTCCCTGGCGCGCAGAGCGCGCCAGAGGTGGAACTGGAGGCGCCCCCAGGGGGCCTCCAGCGCGGATCCGAGAAACTCGCGGACCTCCGAACACTTTTATGTTTAAGTCGTCGTTTGTTATCTGATTATCCTCTTCCCTCCCTCCCTCCTTCTTCCAAAGTCCTGAGCCTAGCACGGCGATCGCCCCGACGTTCGAATCTCCCCTGCCAGAGGCCAATTTAAGCTGGACGGCACTTCCATCCGCAGCGGGGTCCACCCCACTCCACTCCACTCCTCCCTCGTCCGCCTCCCTTTTCCTCCTCCTCCCTCCTCCCCTCCCTCGTCATCTCTCCCTCCCTCTTCATCCCTCCCTCCATTCTCCTCCCTGCTTCCCTCCCTCTTTCTCTCTTCCTCCCTCGCCCCCTCCCTCTTCATCCCTCCGTCCCTCCCTCCCTCCCTCTTCAGCCCTCCCTCGTCATCTCTATCACACCGCCAGGGGACCTGCCAGTCCGGCCGCGGCGTCACTCGCCTTCTCCCCTCGTCACGCCCCTGCTGACCGCACCCTCTCGTGGGCGAGAAGCACGCAGCCGTGGCCGCGGCCTCGCGGGCCAAGCTCCCTCGGCCTCGCGGCCTCGAGCCATCGAAACAGACACGACGGGGGGTTCTCCGCTTTTGTTCTCGTCACCCTCGGGGGGCACCTCCCGGGCCTCGGGAGCGTCAAAACGAACGACTCGGAGTGAAAGACGGGCTTCAGAGGATGAGTCGAGACATCGGGGCGTCGACGTCGCGAACAGAAGGCGTGACGTCGGAGGTCAGGGGGCGACCCTTCCCCCGCGCGGAACGTGGCCGTGCGGCCGCGCATTCGTGGGATATCGCTCGCAGGATTCCAGACCGCGAGGGCCGCGGCCACGGCTACGGTAGGGGGCCCATGCCAAGAAACACCCCGCTTGCCTCCAGGGTGCCCTGGGTGTCTTGGGTTTCGATGGTTTTGCTGAGGAAGGCGCGACGCTCCCACGACAAACATCAATGGACGCCCTGGGGTCTCAGGGTTGGGTTTCTTGTGGAAGGCTTCTTGTGGACGGGCCCCTCTTGTACAGTGGAGCATATGATTCAGAAACCTCTTCCCGAAAAGCTGGGCCAGCGGTTATCCACCTGCTTGCCGGAAAGTTTCATCGAGCATAAGAGAACCCCCAACCCTGATATCACGATGAAGACGTGGCCTCACTGAAGTCCCCGTCTTCGCATCAGGGATAACAGGTCTGAGGTGTTTGGTCTGATACATCTGCAGACAAGACCCCCTTTATCCCTCATGTTTTCAGCCTTCCTGACTTAGGTCCCCTCTCAAAGGTTTAGGGCCCCCTGTTTGGTGGATCAAAGTTGGCCCAGTTTCTCGAGCACGTTCGCCTCCCCCAGCGTTCACAGCAGGTACTGGCCCAGGCTCGCTTAGATAAACTTCCAGGAAGCTGGCCCATGTTTCTGAAACGGTGATTCTCTTGATCATAATGTCGGAGCCAAGGCAGGACTGCCCCGACGGACGGACCCGCGCACCTGGCCTGCCTCGCGCACCACAGGGCCGCGAGGTCCGGCTGGGCGGGCCGCGCCGCATGGCGGCGGCGGCCACCACGGCGACAGGCGACCGCAACGGTGGCGGCGACCATGGTGGGGACGGCGGCAGCGGCTCTGGCAACGTCGTCGCCGTCGCGGGCGCGTTGCTATTCCTCCTCCTCCTCTCTCTCTTCCTCCTCCTCCTCCTCCTCCTCCTCCTCCTCCTCCTCCTCTCTCTCTTCCTCCTCCTCCTCCTCCTCCTCCTCCTCCTCCTCCTCGTCCTCCTCCTCCTCCTCCTCCTCCTCCTCCTCGGTATGCTCGCCGCTCGTGATTCCCCTCCTTGCTCGAGCCAAGGCAGGCCAGCCTGGCGCCACCTGCGCCCATTTCGCGCCCCCCGCGGACCGCCTGGAGCCTCGGAGGCCCCGCGAGGCATGCCGGCGTTCCCGAGGCTCTCCTGCTGGCTGCTGCCCAGCTGCCGGCGCAGCAAGGACCGGCAGGGCGCATGGGGCCAGGAGCACACCTGAGGCCAGGAGTGGGGGGAGGGGAGGAGGAAAGAGAGGACCAGGGGCCAGGAGTGGGAGGCCCTTCTCGCCCGTCCTCCTCCTCCTCCTCCTCGTCCTTTTCCTCCTCACCCTCATGCCTCTCCTCCTCCTCCTCCTCCTCCTCCTCCTCCTCCTCCTCCTCCTCCTACTCCTCCTACTCCTCCTACTCCTCCGCCTCCTCCTCCTTCTCCGCCTCCCCCTCCTCCCCTTCGCCTCCTCCTCCCCTTACTCCTCCCCCCCATCCTCTTCCCTCTCCCCTACTCTTCCTCGCCCCCCCCCCACCCCCCCGCACTGCCCATCCGCCTACCCTGCGCGGAGGTTCCATCCATGAGGGAGGCTTGAGGATGGAGACTGTGGGAGGAGACCTCCTCCTCCTCCTCCTCCTCCTCCTCCTCCTCCTCCGCCGTAGCCATTTTGGCTCAAGGCTTTGTGTTCCACAGTGGAACAAGTGGATACCGCTAGTCCGCGGCAGTGCCAGAGCGCTTGCGCTCGACGTCTTTCTTTCAGCCAGTACCGCAGGGGCTTCTGGCGGCCCAGCTCGGTACCCCCTTCAGTGCTGTGAGCTCCTGTCGGAGCGTGCATGCCATGCCGTGGACGTGGACTACTGCGGAGCGTACCCCTCCCTGGCGTGCGAAAGGTGGTCAGCAGCGCCGTGATGCTGATCGCCGTGTCCACAAGCGTCGCCGTGATGGTGGGGCTTCACCCTACGCCGTCTGCAGCAAGTGCGGTCACTGGGAGTACCTCTTTCATGGTCACACTGCGTGCAGCCGGTGCAGTGGATCATATGTCAATAAGACTACGGGTGAGTCGAGTGCGGCGGTCGACTCACAACTTCCTCTCGATCTGTCAGGGCAAGCAAGTGCTGCAGTCGCTCAATTTCCTGGCCTACGAGATGTGCTCGCGAACCACCTGCCGCCTCCACCACCGCCCAACGTCCCGTCCGAGGCGCAGCTGGACGCAGCGGTGGCTGGAGAGCGGACCGCCTTGGCGAAGGGTGTGGAGGAGGCTGCCAAGGCTGAACGCTTGGCCTGGCAAAGTCGCTCTGAACGTCAGGAGGCCTTGCTTAAGGCCCGTGAGAAGGTCAAGCAGGCCGAGGCTGCCTTTGCTGAAGCCTCATCGCACCTCGAGGACGCCCAGTCCGCCCACACTGTCGCCAAGGAGAAGAAGGACAAGTTCGACGAGGCTGCGTTCAAGAAGCAGAAGATGGAGGCTGCGGCGGCTGCTCAAGCTGCTGCGCGGCCCCCTCCTGCTGGTGCAGACGGCCCACCTGGTGGTGAACCTGGAGGCGCTCATGGCGTTCCTGGAGCAGGCCCTGCACCCGAAGATGCCCGTGAAGTACTTGGTAAACTACATACGCTGGGAGATGACGACCTTCGGAAGCTCGCCGACAGCACCAAGGTCCCCTTCAGCGAGTGGTGTAACCTGCGCACCGCCCAGCTTGCCGCCCACAACGTCCTCAGTTCGGTCTCTCCTGGCTCCACGGCGTCTACGTCGTCTGCTCCTGGCGAGGCTGGTGCTGACGCGGGTGCAGATGCGGCTATGGGCAGTGCGAGTGGTGAGGATGGTGGTGAACATAAGGCTGTTCCTGTCGATGATGATGACGATCTTCTTGGTGAAGCTGATTGGCAGGAGCTTTCTGAGCTTCGCAAGCGTTCTGCGGAGCAATGTAAGCCTGAGGACCTCGAGAGGTTGGAGACCCTCCTGGTCAAAAAATTTCATGCGCAGGCGCATAAGAAGCTCAAGGTGGCTACTTATGCTAATGATATGTGGGTCAACGCTTTTGCCCACCTGGCAGCCCCCCAAGTTGTGCAAGGCGCGTCGTTGGTTTGACGAGTCCCTGGGGCGGCGATGGCAGAGGGTCGACGGGCGTTCGACTATCGATGTCAAGTTCTGCAACGTTTCCAGCTGGTCTGAACTGGCCAAGTCTGAACTTGCCAGAGCTGTTGAGGATGTCGACGTTTACCTCTTTGCCGAGCACCATCAGGGACCCGACAAGCTGCAGGCCGCCAAGAGAGACTGCTCATCTATGGGATGGCGCCCGCACTTCCAAGCAGCCCTTCCCTCGCCTGGCGGAGGATGGCACGGTGGTGTTGGCGCTGTCGTGCAGAAGGCGGTCTACTGCAAGAAATTCCTCTCCCAGCTGGGGTCGAGAACGTGGGCCAGGGGCAGAGTTGGTTTTTCCTGGAAATGAAGACGCAGCATTGTACGCTCGCTCTGGGAGTTATCTATCTCGTCTCTGGGACTGGAGCTTCAGGTATAAACCTCGACCGTCTCCATGAAGTGGTTGAGTTCCTGGGGGTGCTTGAGTGCCCGTGGATCCTCTTGGGAGATTTCAACATGGAGCCCCTTGAGTTGCATCAGTGTGGATTATGTGAGGTTGTCTCTGGCGTCACGGTGGACCCCCGCAATACTGACTTTACCTGTGACAAAGGCACTGGCCGCCTGATCGATTATGCTGTCCTGTCGCGGGACATCCGCCCATACCTGACGATTGATGCGGATTGGAGCTCCGCTTCTAAGACGCACGCCTGCTTGCATGTGCAGATGTCGCTCGAGGTTCTCCGTGACACCGCGATGAAACGAGATCGACCAGTTCCAATCGGGGCCCACCCTGGGCCTGATCAGCGTTGGAATGATTTTGTCCACCGAGCTGGTGACCAAGTTGTGGAGATACCTCGCGAAGTCCGTGGAGCCTTCCTCGAGTTTCACTGGCCCCTACACTCGCAAGGACTCTCGGAATCCTATCAAAAATGGTCTACTGCTGCGGAAATGCTGTTTTGCTCCCGCCCCCTCTCCACCTGGCCGTCGCCGGGGGGGCGCAGGGGCAGAGCAGTAGTTGTGCAGGAGCGGACCCTTCCCAGACGAGGGGTGATGAAGCAAGGTTTCTCCCACCCCTGCCTGGCTTTTTGGACGCTGATATCGTCCCGCCTGTATGATTTTGCTGTAGCCTTGAAGAGAGGAGGCGCCACCCAGGTCACCGCTCTCAGGACTCTCCTCCGAGCGCGCGGTGACGAGGTGGGGCTGCACCTTGAAAGCCTTGCCGATGCACGGCAAGCTGCTGTATGGGCAGGGTGGTTGCAAGACATCCCAGGCGACCCTCGGAAGCTCGAAGTCATCCAAGAAGCTCTCGTCCCCGTCCTTCGTCGCGCGTGGACTGCGGCTCGGAAAGCTAATCGCCTCGGGATCCAGGCCTGGCTCTCCAAGGGACTTGCGGGGGGGGCGAAAGTGGTGCACCGTTGGTTACGTTCTGATGCCAAGAAGGAGGTTGAGATGTTTGTTACTCCCACTTTCGTTGCCCAGACCCCCCAAGAGCTGATGAGATATCGTGAGCAGTTTTGGGCGTCCTGGTGGACGCCTACGAGTAGGCAAGTCGGTGATCTCGAGTACGCTATGCAGCGCCTCAGACCTGTCGCTGAGCTGGAGGCGCTTGAGGCTCGCGGCATTGAGGGCCAGGACGTGCTCACGGCTTGCAAGTGTTTCTCGGCCGACACGGCCCTCGGCGTGGACGGGTGGTCCCCTCGTGATTTGATGCGGCTTCCTGGTGAAGCCCTGGGTCACTTGGCCACCATTTTTAATGGCATCGAGTATGCCCTTGAGTTTCCCCAGCAGGTCTACCTTTGTCTGGTCACCCTCCTGCCCAAAACGTCCACGTCCGAAAGACCCATCACTAAGTGCCCCACCCTCTACCGACTGTACACCCGAATCCGCGGGGACAAAATCCAGGACTGGACCGATTCTCACGTCGCCTTCTGGGATGCGGCTGTGAAGAAATCGTCGGCCTTGCGGGCCGCCATGCTCCGTGAAGTTTTGCACGAGTGTGCTCGGGTGGAGGGGGTGTTTTCTGTTTCTGGCCACTGGGATATGGAGAAGTTTTTTGACACCATCGACCCAAGTAAGCTCATCGGCTTGGCTCAGGCTGTCGACTACTCCTCCTTGCTCCTCTACCTTGGCCTCCTGATCCACACCTCCCCCAGGCTCCTCGAGGTCCAGTCCCTGGTGTCGGGTGTTATGCAGGCTGGCCAGTCCATTTTAGCTGGATGTTCCCAGTCCCTGCCATGGATCAAATGTTATCTTTATGACCTCTTGGAGGCGGCACATCGTCGTGTCCCTCGAGTCCCGATTTCGGCGTATGTGGACGACCTTACCCAGTGCATCCAAGGCTCTGCGCAGGACATCATTACCAAACTGGTGCCAGCTGCGCGAGAACTTTGTGATGTATTGAAACGTCGTGGGTGTAAGATCTCGTCGAAGTCGTGCGTCGTCGCCTCGTCTCGGCAAGTTGGGCGCCCTTTTCAGGCTCTCTGTGATGAGCTGAACATTCCGCTTAAAGTTGTTGATTCTGTGAAGGACTTGGGAGTTGGGACCACGGCGGGGAGGGGGAGGACGATGTGGAAAATGACTCAGCGCAAGGAAGAAGCTAGAATTCGCAGTAAGAGGCCCACGTTCCTGTCCCATGTTAATCGTCGTGCTCGCAAGTTGTTTAAGCCAGGTGTGGTGGCTGTTGGCACATGGAGCCATCAAGTCCTCGGCACTCCGCCTTCGCGCATGCGTTCCCTTCGTGCCCAGGCTGCTAAGGCGACAGGACGATGGCGCGCAGGCTGTTGTACCACTACCCTCCTTGCACTTGATCATGCTATGTCTGATGACCCAGCGTATAAGATTCGATATGAACATCTCTTGGAATGGAGCCGAACTTACCGAGTCCTCGACCCTAGCCAGGTTTGCAGCGTGAACAAAGTATGGCCCAAGTTGTTAGCTAAGCTGCGAAGTGTTCCCCCTGTTCACCGTTGGCGTCATGTGCGGGGCCCCATCGCGTCTGTCATCATGTGTATCTTGGAGCTCAATGGGAACCCACTGGAGCCCTGCACGTGGAGATTCCCTGGTGTTACCCTTCATGTTGATCGACGTGATTTTCCGTATTTTTTGTGGAAGACGGTTGAAAAACA